ACTGTTGTATTTTTCAGATTATTTCAAGGTACTTACGACTTCAAAAAATTTTGTAATTTCATCTTCTCTAATTCAGAAGAAGAGTGAACATCTGTACTTTCAATTTTCTAGTAGATTAGTTTGACCCCCCATGCTTTTTTTCCTAAGAATTTTCTATATAAAAAATTTGACGGTCTCTTACATTTTTATACATGCATATACAGAAAAATTAAACTGAGCTAAGACTTGAGCTTTCTCCATCATTGAGAATATTCTAGTATGTGATAACAAGTCAAAATTATAGAACCTTATATAGTGTAAATCATTCTAAATAGTTGGTTAATGAAGAACATTTAAAAAAATTTGATAACTCGTTGCAAATGTGCAACATAAAGAGGATCGATCCATCTCACAAAAAAAAACGTGTTCAAATCATAATAATATTCCAACTATCTCTGTTGGAGTTCACAGTTTTTAAAATAAGATATTAACAGGGATGTCATATGCATTACAAGTTGAATTACGTCCAGTCGCTAGACCCCTTTAATCCAACATAAAATGAAAAAAAAATGAATTTGAGCCCGAATAAGTGACCCGTCCCAGCAAGATTATTACGTCAAAAGTTTATCATTCAACATACTCGTTTTATTATGACCCCTTTTGAGCTAAGATTTTGGCGAAAGAGTTTATGCCTCTCAGTCTCTCGTTTCACCCCACCAACTACTAGCCTCTGCGACCTGCTAGTGTTTCATGGCTTCAAGATATTGGGATTGAAAGTCTTTCGACTGACAAAATCAGATTTAGAGGAATTCATTCTTCCAAAGTTTTTCACCAAATGAGCTTTGAGACTCCATTATTATCGACTTCAAAGCCAATCAAACTTTAAGTTATTAAACTTTAGAAATGTTTGAGCAATCTGCATTGCTAATATTTGTTGTGCATTTATTTATTGAGAAAAATCTTATGTAATATTCTAAGGGTCTGTTTGGGGCAACTGCAGCTTATTGAATAATCTTCCTGATAAGCTGATCTGATAAGCTGATTAAAAATAATATGTTGATAAGCTAGGTGCGGTGGCGATTACAAATTTTTTTTTTTTTAAAAGCCGGATAGCTGCCAGAAAGTTGTCACCTCACCTAGGTAGGTGCGGTGTGAAAATATTGTTTTCGGCGTTTTGAAATCGCATAAGCTGTCAAAACTCAGTTTACCCAAACAGGTCAGGTGCATTTTCAAAACGCCACAACACCAAATAAGCTGCCCCAAAACACCAAATAAGGTCAGGTGCATTTTCAAAACGCCACAACACCAAATAAGCTGCCCCAAACGGAAGCTAAGTTTTGTTGAAAATAAATGCTTTTGACAATTAAGTGGCATTTGTTGCAATAATTTATGTAATACTCCAAATGTTGAGTTAATGCAAAATTTCTTAATTGTACTTGTTGTGTATTGAAAAAATCATGAAGTGGGAGTCTTATTTAATTCTCTAATAATATTGTTGTGTTATTTATCATAAATTTTAGGTTTGACTTCTTCAAAAAGATATTGAATGTTATGCAGAAATTTGTCATTCAACTTATTGTGTATGGATTCATTACTAAAATAATTAAATAAAAGTCTTATTTAAGGCTCCAACAATATTGATTGGTGATAAATATAAAAAACAATGTTAGTTTTCTTCAGAAATATATTCAATTAATGCATGATTTATAGTATTTTCATGTTAAGTATTGACAAAATGCTAAAGTGGAAGTCTTTTTAAGGCTCAAAATTTAGTGACATGTGTTGTTTATCAAGTTTAATGTAGTCTTTCTTCACAAAAATTTTGAATTAATCTAGATTTTTTTTCATTTTTTCTATTGTGTATTGACAACTTAATAAAGCAACCCCTTTATTTAACTCTCTAGCAATGATTTTTATATAATATTTGTGAAAATCCATGTTGGGTTTCTTCAGAAAATTGCGTAACTAATTAAAAAAAAATATATTTTTTTACTTATTGTGTATTAATATTCCTGAAGTGAAGGCCTTATGTATTCTTTAACTATACTGATATGTAATATTTATAAAGTTTTATGTTGACTTTCTTTAAAATAATGTTGAATTAATGATTAAATTCTCATTTAACTTGTTACATATGACACTTCCTCCTTAGAATGCTGACTTTTTTTCGAGGGCATGAAAAACCGAGTTTGCAAAGATCCATAAGAAGGTGAGTAACTACCGCGCAGTACACATATTATTATTAGTAAATTAGTTAGTCAAGTGCAAAGATGAAATATCTTTCATGTCGATTTTTCTTTCTCAGCGACACCAAGAAATGATGAATGCTAAAAAAGAGTTGAGGGAGACACCAACAAAACAACGATTAGAGAGCCACGTTTTTACATGTTTTCCCAACGAGGATGTTGGATATTGAAAAGGATAATATAAAGTTGTGATCCCACTGATAGTACTGTTGGATCGTAACTAATCTCGCGAGCCATCGTCAACAAGCACAGCTGTCATTGTTGTCGGCCTTCACCTCCTGCCATCGCCACTGTGGCCTTTATATATGGTCGGCGCCTCCACTGTTGTTGGCCCCCACATATGACGGCGCTTGCCATCGGGCTCCATTTTTTACTGTTGCCACCACCCTCCGCCTCTAGCCTCCACCATCGTTGTCGTCGTCGCAGCCGTTGACATTATTATCGCCTCTGGCTGCCGCTCCTACCGGTCTCCACCTCTAGCCGCCACCATCCTCCACCTCTGGCCGCCACCACCGACCCTGGCATCCACATCCGGCTGTTGCCACCGCCATCGCTAGCCTCCACATCCTAACTCCGTCGCCATAGTCCTCCACTTTCAACTGCAATCACCGTCAATGGGAATGAATTATTTTAAAATTTTCATTTTTTTTTGGCTATTTCGATAATTTTTCAGACATGCAAGAAAAATTTCTCAAAAATTAAAGGCAATTGATACATCATTAATAAATTGTCATTTTGCATGAATCTTGAAGTATTTTTCTAGCCAAAAAAATCAAACTTAAATTAAAAATTATCCAGAATTCTGATTTTAGCAAATTTATTATCAAGCTGACCAGCTTGACGAGACGAACCCAATGACGTCAAAATTGGTCCAGTCCGAGTCAAATAGAGTCTAAATCACTTTTGGAAGCTTTTGGTGAGTAGTTGAACGGTCAATTGGATTCTAAATTTGACAAGTTCATAATCGAATTAAGTGTTTCTATGTGATGAAACCAACAAGCCTAATAACACTCAACTCTGATATCATTATGAAAATAAAATCTTCACAATAGATCATCCAACTATGGGAATCTCTCTGTGTCGGTCGATTGCGTGATATGATTTCTTTCTTATTTGTAGGGAGGTCGCTTACAAACACTATAAATAAAGATCTACCCCCTTCGTGATAGAGAACCTTGACCTAGAGCTGGATAAGGAGAAGGAGCTAAATTCCAACATTGTTCTGCATTGAAAACCCGACGAATGCTTCCTATCCCCGTTGCTGCCAACCACCGTCAATCACTGCTTATCAGTCGTCATTGATCACTGTCAGCCGCCCTCTTGCTCGTGGCCATCAATGTACCTTGTAGGGTAATAAAGTACGACACAACAACGTGACCCGAATACGTTGCACTGACACCCCCTAAATAATGTGTAACAACACGCTCTAAAGATGGTGTAATAACTCTCCTCAAGTATAGTATAACGATGCACCACATATATGGTGCAATGATGTGCCCCGAAGCCGGTATAATGATGTGCCACAAAAATGATGCAAAGATGCACTACTACAACCTACATGACTAACTACTTCTTACATGATCAACAACTCACTCAGCTCCCAACTCTGGTCTCTATAACCTAGGGATATTATTATAGCTCACAACTATGACTTATACGACCAACTATGACCTACATGGCTCACAACTAACTCAACTCCTTACTCCAACATTTATGGCTCACTGTTATATCTTACGTGATCAATTACGACCTATGTGGTTCACAGTTTATATAACTCCCAAGTTCAACCTCTCGACTTATAGGCTTTTACGATTTACCACTATAGACTATGTCACCAACTGTGACTTATGTGACTCAAAACTAATATAACTTTCAATTGCCTCTGCAACCTATAAGCATTATTACTCCCCACTGCGGCCTCTGTGATACACTACAATCTATATGACTCACAACTCATGCAACTCTCAAGCCTTTGCGACCTACTATTACTATCACTACTCCTTACTATGGCTGATGTGGTCAATCGACGCTCCCGAAGCTACCCTCAACGTCTTATATGGCCAACTACTATCACAAATTTCAACTATGACTTTGACGATAAGCTGTCACTGTAACCACAACTACATTGTTCACAACAGACTGCTAACTCCATAGGAATCGATTACGACCTTCGTGACCCATTACAAGTATTATTACTGAACTAATGTTGTACATCAACATTATAATTTTATCTTCCTTATTACAATAGAAGAGTGGGTCTATGTACTTACATTTTCTTAATTAATTACTAAGACTGAGACAAACTCCACAAATTTTTGCCTTTTTAGGGTTTTCCATGTAAAAATCTTGGTGTCTCTAAGTGTGTGTTGGATCTCATACAATGCTGATATATTAATTTATTACTATACAGTCGAGGATATTTTGACACACATCAATGATTTTAAAGCTTATTTTCTTCTACTCCTATATGAAGTCCTTAAGTTTTGTGGGCGGGGTTTTTTTTTGAGCTTTCCTGATTTTTTTCCTAGCTGAGAATGTTACTATGATTCTCTGTTCTCTTTCTCTGTTGGTTTGCATTTTGGAGGTATTGGGAGTGCATTATTGGCTTGGTGGACATCTTTTGCTCTGTAAGTTTGGAAGCTAATTATTCAACTGAAGCTTCTTTTATTGGTTTGCATTCTGGAGTGGACTTCTTCGCATTATTCAATTTGAAGTTGTAGTAAACTTCTATGCATTTTTTGGTTTGGAAGATGTTGATTCAAAATTATATGTTTGGATACTTGGAATGTTTCATTGAAAATTGGGTTTTAGCTGTTATGTTAATTTTCTGTTTTATAACAATTTTGTATCATTTTAGTAAGTTAGCAATTCATTAATTTGTGCTTCCTTTCCTCAAAATCGCCGTCCCCCAACCCTCCCAAATTCTCGACGAGCAAGGAGGGATTCGTGATGGCAGCTTAATCGAGAAGGCATCACGGGACCAGCGGCGTGTGAAGAAGAGCAATCTGCTGCTCTAAGTTAAATCCTTCCATTGTCAGGCGCTCAATCGGATTCAATGTAAACGAAGGAAAAACGAATTTTTTATAGTTCTGCAGAATTTAAAGGTGTCATTTTTGCTGTTTTGCACGATATAAGTTGGAGTCTGTAACGAAACGGCCCCTTGTTGAGAAACCTTGGCCATATCTGACATGGTTTTTAGTTCCGTCTTTGATGTCGGAACTCTGAGAAAAGAATTTGAGAATGCGGGGATAAGCTCACAGTTCATTCCCATCATCTGGAAGTAATAACTCCTTCAATCCACTTTCTCTCTTTATGACCTCAGATTCGGATGGAGGTTGGTTTTTTGTGGTCCCTAACGTAGGGTTTTATTTCGGCTTAATTTTTCACCAGGCATGTTCGCCAGAAGCCTAACAGCGAGCTTGATGAGGTCCCTTCACTCCCAGCTCCAGCTTACCCAATCCTTAGGTCTAAGTTTAAAGTGATGACCTCGTCTCTCATCTCCGCCACGGATTCGATGGATGGGCTTACTACCAAGCTGCTTATCCGTCTCCAGGTTTTCCTCTCCCCCCCTGAACTATGCGTCATTAGAATGTTGGTGTTGTGGTGATATTAACACCACAATATCACCACAATACCACCAACCCGCACATGTGGAAAACCTGGTATCATTGATATTGCTTGTTTTATTTTTAATGTTTTTTTTTCTAAGAATATAAAACTATGGGCATTTTGATTCTTTGTTTTTCCTATTTAATGCACTAATAATGCTAAAGTTACATATTTTTTACATTGTGGAGGTGATACATATTAAGAAGGCTTTGATCATTCAGTTGATTCTTACGGCTTTGAGAATTCTATACTTGGAGACCTAAAGAAAGAGAAAGTAAATGCAAAATAAAAAGAACTAATATGGAGCTGTACTTTTCAGATTTATTTATTTTAGGCAGGGGGAATTTATATGCTACTTTCAGATTTCCAACACTCAATAGATATTTTCATCCCCAACTTGCTCGTAATATCTTGAAATCTTGAAGTAGGTAACCCCATGGTTATGTCATCTCAACAAGTTGATGATTTGTAAGGAGTGTTGATCTAGCCCTTGTACATTTCTCCTTTATGAATTATTTATCCACTTTTATGTGTTTGGTGCCATCATGCTATATTGGATTGTAGGAAAATTTTATGGTAAAATTGTTATCACAAATAGAGTTTAGAAGGCCCATCATTCTTGATTTTAAGTTCATCAAGGATTAACTTCAGCCATAGAATATTAGAAATTCCATAAGTCAATGCTTTAAATTTGGTGCAAGCATGTGATAGTATAATCACAACTTACTTTTAACTTCTGAATGTACAAGATGTGCTCGAGGAAGGTACGGTAAAATAATTTTAATTATCTATTGAGTCAACTACAACTACTAACTCTTAAGGTCTGAGATGCGGTCAACCGAGTTAATGAAAACTGATCAAATTACTCTTGAAATTATGGTTGTATTTGATTTTATAGGTGCCTTCTTTTAGCTATAGTACAACAAAAACAAAAATAAGAAGCCTTTATCCCACTAAGTGGGGTCGGATAGATGAATCCTTTTTCTTCATTGTGTCCTATTGAGTGCCAAATTTATATTATGCTATCTTATAGTTGTAGTTTAAATTTATATTATGCTACATTGTACATGCTAATGGTGATTTCTTTAGACTAATGATGATTTAACTATGATAATCTGTTAAAATGATTGTATCATGCTGAAATCCACTTGTTTGAGTCCTTCTGTTGCCTAATACTTGATTTGAACTTTCCTAAAAAAATGTCCAACTCTTAAATGCAATTCAGTTTATTGTGCTATCTTAAGTGGCCATGTTTTCACTTCTTTATACCCAAGTGATGTTTACACAACATGAAGAACATTATTAAAACATCATGTAGATTTTTTTTTTATTAGAAAGGAAATTTGGTGGAAGCAGTGATTATGCGGTATGACCCTAGACTTGGGAAGTATGATGGAAAACCTCGTCCTGGCGGTCAAAGATCAACTCTTTGTGTTTCGTCACAGGTTTAATATTTCTTCTTTCTGTTGTAACAATAAGTACTTTGGTTTCAGAATGAAAGCTACAGATTATGAGTTTTACATTTCATTTTTATGTTTCAGGTGGGCTGCAAGATGGCTTGTAAATTTTGTGCAACTGGGACCATGGGTTTTAAAAATAATTTGTCTTCTGGAGAGATTGTTGAACAGCTAGTCCTTGCATCTCGCTTCTCAGATATACGCAATGTTGTTTTCATGGTACAACTTTGTGCATCGAGTTATTTGCTCTTAGCTGCTTCTATTTACTATATCATGGGTGTAGAATTAAGCGCAATAGTTATTCCTATATGACTGTGACTTGGCTTTATGCTTAGAGTTCTTTAGGCAGCGCATTTCTTTTCAATTTTTTTTTGCCACTGTCTTTGTTTAGTTGTTAATATTTGTTGCAAGAACTAAAATTATGAAAACTTGCGACATATGTATTTGTGAAAGGTTTTTGCCCGCTCAACTCGTGTTATTTCATTGTAACCAGGGAATGGGAGAGCCATTAAACAATTTTACCGCTGTAGTGGAAGCTATCCAAATCATGATGGGATCCCCATTTCAGCTATCACCTAAAAGAATTACTGTGTCAACTGTAGGTACTATGAACCAACTTTAATCTCTAACTTGAGCCTGAAATGTTGCTTTTTCATTCAAGTGAAATGATTAGTTGAAGGCTTGTAGTAGTAGTTGTTGTTGTTGTATCTTCACCTACGTTCTCTTTCTCTGTATGAGCTCTTGAATGCTGATTTGCTGATGACAATGCCTCTTTGGCCTCCATGCAGTATATGTACAGGCTTCTTCTTTTATTTTGGGTTTTAGTTATGTGTGATTAACATATATTAGTGACAATTGGTAAGGCCCAAGGGTTATTTTTTCCAGCTTCTTGATATAGGAAAGGAAAGTAAGTTGCTTTATGATGTAGCTAGATTTTTAGAGACTGGAAACTTGTTTGGTTTGAAGGACTGGAGCCATATAAGGGTTTGTTGTGAGGCAATTAGTAGAGAAATTGAATTTGGGTTTTAATTTAATTGAAAGGGGATTAGGGCAGTACACCAACACTTTTGATGACTTGAGCTATTAAATGAAGGTTTCTTCGTGATTTCTATTCTCCAAGGAGGCTTTTCCTATTGGTTGTTTTATCGCTTTGTTTTTGTTTGTTTTTTGCAGACCATTTAGTGCTCAGGTGGCAAAGTGTTGAAACTTTATTGTCCGGATTATATGAAATAATTAAGGTCAATTTCGTAACTAGCAATTTAACCTCTAACTTATCCTCACCCACTTTTTCAGAACAGGGCAGCCTATTGCAAAGCAAAAAGTAGGATGAGTGCAAGCTTTAGGTTGTACTTTATAGGGCTATTGGGAGTTGCTTATGCAAGCGAGATGCAAGTGACAAGGATTTCATGTAGCTTCATCTTATGGCGGTCCAATTGAGGTCTTAAAAAAATTCTTTTCTCCAATTTGCAATGGAGGACATAGACGACCAAATATAGAGTATAGGGAGTTCACAAATGGTATTGTGCATAGGATTATCTTATTTTTTTCATGTTCTTCGAGATTTGTGGGTGTAGGATTCCTCTCTTTTTTATATTACTTTCTCTTAAGAAATGTTACTCCAAGTTTGATGAAAATTTCATTTTTTATACCTTATTTAAAAAGGTATTTGAGGTTTATGCCTTAAGGTGCCCCTCGAACTAAGGCACCAAAAATACCTCAAAGCTTGAGCCTAATCGTCAGCAGTAAGGCTTACTCTTTTTTTGTCGGAGGCATATGCCTTGAAATTTTATGCTTCAAGGCATTTGAGGCAATGCCTCAATCAAAATTTGCAAAAAAATCATATTGTATTATACTTATATTTAATCTATTTGATATAATTCCTCTAAAATATTAAAACGTAATTTAAGCATGCTTACCTTATTACTTTATTAATTTATTCTTTTATTTTACATTATGTTGAACATAATATTAATTGATATACAATTCAAAAAGAAAATTATAGTGATTGATGAATATTTTGAAGTTGCCAAGGAGATAAAATTAGATAATGGTAAATATGTGATTCTTTTGAAGATGATGAAAGCAAGAATGATGCCATTATAGATTTTGATTTGATGGAATATTTAAATTTCAAGTGAATGTTTACCCAGAATCACATTTCAAACTTTTATTTTATTTTTATATTTAAGAATAATATTTGTGGTATATTATGGTAAGAAAATAAATAAATATATCAATGCGTGATATCATATATATGAATTATTTTTAATTTTATGATTTTTTTCAATATTCAAGCTTATGCTTCAATCAGTCTCAAAACTCATGACTTTTCTCGCTAAGACAAAACGACTCAGTTCTCGATTTCTCCTTTTTTAAACCTTTATTTTTATATTTCTGATAGTTTATACTTGTGACTCCACGCCATTTGGATGTAAGTGATACTTGATTGAACCACACAAATTTGGCACTCTCATAAGTGTGTTTCTTTTGTTGTTACCTACCATATTTGTGTGATGTTATGTTTATTTGCCCGAAGTTATTTGTTTTTCTTTTTGGTGGTCTCATAGAGAATTGATGCAGGTTTTTTGCTACAACAATTTTGTAGCAGAATTTTTTAATTATGCCTTGCTGATGACATCATCTTGGATATCGAGTTCTTCATTCAACACTACCAAATATGAATCTTAGAAATTCAATGTGATTAATGATTTTAATATTTGAATAACGAATATGAGAGTATCTTTGTCAAAGGAGGGATTGGTTAAGGTTTGGAAAGAAAAATGTTCCCTAATTAACATAATGTGGAGAAAAAGGAGATGGATCAGAAAGTGGAGATGAGATTTTTCGCATTGTGTTGACCTCATTTTTATTGAGGTCTTAGTTTTCTACTCCCGAAACCCAAAATCTAGTCTTAGGAGTTCTTATTGACCATCCTAGCAGATTAGCAATGGAGCCCACCTCCCGTAGAACTTCAAACCACTTCTTGACTCATTTTTGTGAAGAACTCGCATGAGGGGTTCCAAGCACTCAACTTCTAGATGCAAGGGCTAAGGACCAGCATGTAGAGGGCCCAAAAATGAGTTCCCACAGGATCAGACGACCTTACGTGAACCCTCCGTGACTCAACAACACACTCGCTACACCACGCATAAAGTTGACACATTTTTGGCATGACCGTCAGTGAACTTGTCTGGACGATTCCAGATGGCAAAACGGACCGCGCTGGCGCATTCGGAACGCCGACTTTTGTTAGAAATGACACCAATATTGTTAGGGCACGCGCACAAATGACACGAAAATCGATGCATATTTTTTTAGTGGGAGGATTCGGGCTGAACACGGTCTAATTGACTCGACTTATATGATTTCAAATTTGATATTTCAAATTTCAAATTTCAAATTTCAAATTTATCATTTAATTCCTCTATTAAGCTTTTCCAATTAAGCTGCTACCGCTTAGGGAAACTATTAAATTCCCCGCCTATTGCTTCACATAACGGCTCTTTGATTAATTCGACCCCGCTCTTATTCTTATTTTGAGAGGGATGCTCGCCTTCTTCCTTCTGGTTGATCACATTTCAACTTCGTCCTCCTTGGACGAAGCCGCTCAGCTCACTTGTCTTCTTCGCCTCCTAGATTCCGAAGCTCCTCCTCGCTGCACCGAAGAAGCTCACCCCGCATGCCTGCTTGCCTCTGCGATTCATCTTTGCGAACCAAACTCCATATTCCTCGTCTCTCGATTCAACGCTTGCTCTCCTCCTCATTCGACTCCCCTCGCTCTCGATCCTGCTTCTTCTCGCTCGATCAAAGCCAAAGAAACCTTCTCTCCACTTCACCGAAGCATTCGCCCCTCACCTGCTCCTTTCGATCCCTCCTTCCTTGCTCGATCGAAGCCACAGACCCCGCCTTCCTCTCTGCACCGAAGACCCCCCGCTCCGCTCGCCTCGCCTCTCTGCATCTGATGCCTGCTCTCCTCCGTCGACCGAAGACCGAAGCTCCGCTTGCTTGCCTCGCCTCCCTCTGCCTCTCCTGCTTGGCTTTGTTTCTTTCCTCTGTGCCAAAACCCTCGCCTGTTTCCCTCTCCTCACTCGACTCATCCAGAAATGCTCGATTCCTTCTCCCTCTCACGACGACGAGTCTTGACCGCTCAATCCCGCACGCCTCTCCTCAGCACCGAGTTTCGACAGCCCAATCCAGCTCGCCTGCTTTGCCTCTCTCAGACACTGAAAGCTTCGCCTCCATTCTCTCAGCTCACGTCCTGCCCTGTGCGCCGAAACGCCCACCAGTAAGTTTGCTGAAGGAAACTCGAAATTGTGGGGTGAACTGAAATCTGGAAGAAGAAAGTGAGAAGCTAAGTGGAGAATTTGATATTTCAAGCTTTTCATCAATACAAAATCAATATATTCTCAGGTTATTTGTTTCATGCTCAATAAACTCAGCTTCTCATCTTTAAACTGAATGAATATGAATTAGCTGTAGTTATCCTGAAATTCAGAAGGAAGGTTTACATACATGTCACTTAATTCTTTGGTATTTATCATCTAACATCTAAACCTTAATCTTTACATGTATGCCACCAATTCTATGCATGAAGAGGTATACTTTAGTTTAGTTTTTTTTTTTTAAAGTATTGGGTGTTATAAATGTAAAGTATAGTGTAAGTGTAAGTAAATGAATAGGAATGGGGCCATATATTTATTTCTTATTTTAGTGTGTCATGGGTTGGCTTAGATTGGCTTATGGCTTAAATCCTAATAAAGCAGAACACCTTAAAGTCCTGTAGGTCATAATTATGTGGTTCTCATGGGATTACAGTTATTCTATACCATAATTGATTGCAGAAATATTAAAGCTCTTTCTTGAAATATTAAAGCTCTTTCTTAAAGCTCTTTCTTCCTATTCTGTGTATTTGCATGAAGTAAGTGTAGGTGGTGTATGGCTTAATAAGTTGTATGGACGATTCAAGAGCATGACAACAGGAATAGTGGTCTGATAAAATAAAATATAGATATATACATATACTTGGATATTTGGAGAATCGGTCCAATAAAGCTCCCTTTTTGGTGGTGTTGAGCCTTCTATGGTGATGAGTTTTTTTTTTGAATGAAAAGCCGCCTTCAAGTCTCCATTTCTGTAGGAATACCCGAAGACTTTCATTTTTGATATAAATTGATTGGAGGATTCTAATAGGCAATGGAAGTAGAACGATTGAATCATATACATCACAGGATTGTAGCTCACACCTTGCACATATGAACGGGCTGAATCAACAAAAAAATGCACAGTGATGATAGCAAGTGGGGAATTTACATACATGCTATCTGATTCTTATATATATTTATGTATCTAACACCTACGTTTTATGTTTACAAATATAACACCCAAACTTAAATTTGTTTGCTTATACACCACCTTATTCATGCGCAGAAAGTTACATCTCATATTTTAACAATTTCTTTGATATGATAAGAAAGATTTTAATGTTATATAAAAATTTCAATTCTTACATATTCACATATCTAACATAAGCTATTTTCATGCACAAAATCAAGGTGACATGCATGTAGAAATTGAGAGTTTTAGTGTTAGAAATGTAAATGCATAGGAATTGGGGGGAATATGTATGCGAACCTTCCTAATATTCTTTTATGCTCTCCCTGATGTCAATTGTGCACCATTTAAATACTGATTTGGGGAGTCAAGTGCTGATTTGTGCTCCATAAGTGCTGTCCGGGCCTTAAATAAGATGTAGAAAGCAGCTGTCTAGGTTCGGAAGAGAGGTTCGGAAGAGCTGTAGAAGCCGTAGAAAGCTGCAATCTTGGTTTGGGAGAGCTGTAGAAGCCGTAGAAAGCTTTTGTTTAGGCTTGGGAGAGCTGTATGAAGCTTAGGATGGCTGTTTGGTGTTGTTCGGCAGCTTAGAATTGCTGTTTCAAGCTGTTTGAAGGCTTAAAACTATTGTTTGGTGCTAGGAAGTGTTGTTTGGAAGCTCAAAGTTGTTGTTTGGTAATTAATAGCCGTTGTTGGGAGGCCCTAGTTGTTGTTCGGAGCCGTAGGAGATCGTAGGATCACCATACACACTTGCTAGTTGTTGTTACGACTTGTTCAGCTGCTTACTGTTTTCTTCTTTTCTCTGCAATTTATTTAAATTCCCTGCAAATTATATTGTGCTTTGTGAGTTAAACATGCAACAGGGATAGCAGCAGCAGATACGACACATACGCAGATACATTTTATTTGT